GGGTGATCATGTCAAAAAGCATGCGCCTTGCCAGCTACGCCACTGGAATGATTTTTGATAAGCGTCTTTTGCACTAGCCCAATCACCCATTGGTGGGCGGAGTTAGAATAAATAGCCTCTGCCAACAAGGCAGGCTATTTGCACTTAGTGTAAATAGACACTCCGTTATTGTTAATGTAGTTAATGTAATTATAATAATCGTGATTATTTCATGACAAATTCTAAGTATCAAACACCAGCGTCTACCAGTTAGACTTTTACGTTGGGAAATAGTAATAGTAACAGTAAAGACAAAATTGTAAATCATACAGTTTACAGCAATTTCATGTATTTTAATAAGTCTTGCGATATAAAATTGTATATATATATATATATATATATATATATATATATATATATATATGTTTTGTTTCTTTGTATATCTAAATGTTCCAGCAGCTCCTGCCTCTACAAGATCTCCTTCAACTAAGTCTCAAACAACAGCTCCAAGTGAGTATTTTTATTTATGGAAAACTGTGTAATCATGAAAATGGAAATGGAAAATGAAAATTCAGTTTATTATTAATCTGGTATGTTGTACTGATTTAATTTGGATTCAGCTTTGATGCCATCTCAGGTTTACTTTAATCAGAAAACTGCACAGCTGCTCCCAGAATCCAGGGGTGTGTTTCCTGATAACGTTAACTCTTAGCGCTTCATGAAGACTCTAAATGTATACCTTAACTAAAGGTATACCTTTTGTAGGAGTGTATACCTTAGAAGGTTACTTAAAGGGGAGGTCTAAAGCTATTTCATGCATTCTAACTTGTTTACACTGTTAAAGAGTTGGATTCTCATGCTAAACATGGCCAAAGTTAAAAAAAAATGAGTTGAAAGTACGACGGAGTATTTCTGTGGCAAATACACTCCTTCAGGGTTCGTATACATTTCAGAAAGTTTTTTTTTTAGTATGGCCCTGTATAAACGGCACAATTCCTTGTATGGGCACTTCACCTGGAAGGGCACGAGCACACATCAACCAGAGTGAGAGCAAGAGCATGCCCATCAATGTGCTTCAATCGGGTTGCAGAAGTCGTTGGCAGTGCTGCACAGAACTTGCTCGAGAAGGATTTGTCATTTTGTTTTTAGACCATGAAATCAACAATGTCACCAAAGAAATTAACTTTTTCATTGTGTGGGAAAGATAACCTTATTCAGCTTCCCAAAGAACCCAGCATTAAGGGAACAGTGGATACAGTTTGTTCCTCAGGGGCAGCAACAGAGTGCAAGTGTGTTTGTTTGTTTCCGGTATTTTGGTAAAGAATGTTTTATAAATAAATTAAATAAAATTAAAAGTTTTTGTTCCTGTTTTATTTATATCAATGTCACAGCTTGCAGATGATTGCTTCGTATCCTTGTGACTCTTTATCTCTACTCATGGCATGCCTCCAGGAGCTTTAGTGTTTCCAGAGAAGCGTAAAACTTCTTTATCTTTTTATAAACAACTAAAGACTCTTTGAAGATGTGAAGGATATAATACCACTCAATATTGCAACCCGATCTCATGAAAGTGCGTATAAATAGTACGCCAAATAAAAACGAAAACTCGTGGTATTGATACGCAAAAATGGACTTTGGCATGTATATGCTACGTGATGGGTAGGTTTAGGGTTGTGGGGTAGATGCGTATCATATGTACGCGAAAACTGCGTATCATATGCACGCCAACAAATTTCGTATTATATGCACGCGAAAACTGCGTATTATATGCACGCCAAACACATGCTTATCATATGCACTCCAAAGTCCATTTTTGTGTATCAATACCACGAGTTTTCGTTTTTATTTGGCGTACTATTTATACGCATTTTCATGAGACCGGGCTCCAATATTGACATGAGATTGGCAGAAACTGTGTGTTATGTCCCCTTTAAGGTATACCTTTTTATATGTGACGTTACCAGGTGCTGTCCATATTGGTTGATATCGATGGTAGAGCCCTACGTGGGGCTGTTTTCTTAATCCCGCTCCCGCCACTCCCAGCCGCTCTTGCGATTTTTGAGTCCACACCCGATCCCGCAAACATTCTAATATTGTATATACTTTTCACGCATCAAGGAGCCGCTATCAATATGCGGGGTATGGAAAGCACTTTTGAAAAGAGCGCTCAATGTTCATTTTCACTATTGATTATGCGATCAGTATACTCTGTGTAAAGGGAATACATCTTACAAGATAAGATATTTGTCAGTGAGCTCAGGATTTGTTGAGCAGCAAATCCTCCAGCATGGTTTTGTCAGTCATCTCTCCTTACTGTCGACCTGTGATCAGTCAAATCTCATTCCTGCAGCTTGTGTTGGATGCAGGGTTGTCAAGTCTGCCTTTTTCCCATGGAAATTGGCAACTTTTAAGCTGTTGCCATCGGTTGATTTTTTCCCGTGAGTTAAAGGTTTGAAATATTGCATTAATTACATTTGACTGAAAATCTAGTATTGAAATATTTTGCATTCCACTTATGATAAAACTGCGCTAAATGTTAAGTTGTATAAAGAAAGGGCCACCGGTAGGAAGCCTTAGCTTTGTTTATGGTCATTGTGCAAAACGGTGACTGTAAAATATGTGTTTTAGGTATGGAAATGACAGATTTTGGTTTTGATATTTGGAATATAGTCATTGCACTACTTTGGGCTGTTTTTGGCTCTGCCATTGGTCAGTTTCGTGCTAGTTTTGTCATGCAGACTTGTCATGTTTAATAATATAATACAATTTATTATCATATTCTCATGTAGGTTCCCCTAACACAGAGTCTAACACTTCCACTGAGTCTAACACTCCACTGATTGTTGGCGTAGTTTTGGGAGTGATCTGTTTTCTCTTCATCATCACTTTCATTCTCTTCTTCTATTCAAGAAGGTGAGTTGCCAGTGTCATCAGAGAAGTAAATACTGGATATATTTCAAGATGCAAAAGTCTTTCAGATTCATTTTATTGAATGTTCAACATTTCTTTATTACTCTCTTTTCCAGACAAACCAAAAAACAATGTCCAGGCATCCTTGTACACACCATTAGGTAACTTTGTTTGAGATGTTTATAGTTGAATATTTCTTTTACAAAACTTAAAATTGTTAATGCATTGCCTTTTACTTTCTTTTTCCAGTAATAAAATGTAAGTAAATTTTAATTATTAATCTATTAAATTTTAACGTTGAAACGTGATTCTTTACACTTTATTGTATGTTTTTACATGTTTGTTTTTGTTTTATGGTACACAGTAATATTGCTTTGAGAATAGAAGATTATGAAGAATACTTTAAGCAGAAACATAAGGATTCCAACTGTGGTTTTGCTGAAGAGTATGAGGTACACATGGGAAACACACACACACACACACACACACACACACACATACACACACAGAAAAGAGTTTATAGCAGCTCAGGGTCTGCTGCCCACTACAGTGAATGAATTCTGGAGAATGGTCTGGGAGAAGAATGTCCACACCATAGTGATGCTGACCAAATGCAACGAGATGGGACGAGTAAGTTTTCATTGGGAAATATTATTTTTTGGTGTTTTATATAGGGTTGGGTGATGTCTACCAAATTGACATCGGGGGGGGGGTGTTACATAAGACCACTTAAGAGGCTGCAAAACTAGAGGAGCTGAAAGGTTGCTACTAACAATCCCAGCTAGAACACAGCTATCCGCAGATAACTATATCTAAAGGGTCTTATGAAATTAACCTTCCTAAAAGCTGCCCAGACCAGGGGGATGGCTATCTACTTAAAACCCAGCAGGGGAGAAGCACTGTCTAGGCAAGAGCTCAGGGAGACGGCTGCTTAAAAACCCTAAGAAGGGGAGCAGTCACTGAGCTGGCACATAGCTATCCTCAGATAACTATATACCTAGGAAGGGGCTTCCCGACGGGACCAAAAACTAATAGGCTACCGTTACTAGATAGACAGGTGAACCTTCCTGCAAAGCTGCCCAGACCACAGAAAGTGGGCTATCTACTTAAGACCCTAGCAGGGGAGACATCACTGTCTAGGTAAGGGCTCAAGGAGACTGCTACTTACAAACCCTAAGAAGGGAAGCAATCACCGAGCTGTCACACAGCTAATCCCACACGGTTAGCCTAATAACCAGGTAAACCTTCCAGTGAAGCTGCCTAGAACAAAAGATTGGGCTATCTACTTATGAAACTAGCCGGGGAGATAGCACTGTCTAGGCAAGGGCTCAGGGAGACTGCTACTTAAAGGCCCTAAGAAGGGGAGCAGTCACTGAGCTAGCACATAGATATCCTTAGATAGCTATACGTGTAGGAAGGGCTACCAGAAGGGGGACTGACTGAAAATACCCAGACCACCGAGAGTGGGCTGTCTATTTACAACACAAAGAGGGGAGACAGCACTCTCTAGGTAAGGGCTCAAATAGACCGCTACTTAAAAACCCTAGGTAGTGGAGCAATCACTGAGCTAGCACATGGCTATCCTCGGATAGCTAGGCTGTAGGAAAGGGGACCACTGCAACTGCCAAGACCACCAGCAGTAGGCTGTCTAATTATAGACCCCATAAGGGGAGACAGCACTATTTAGGCAGGGCTCAAGGAGCTAGTACATAGTTATCCTCCGATTGCTATGTTTCCGGGAAAGGGCAAGGTAAAACACAGCTAGCCTCTGATAGCTGTATTCAAGTAAGTCTGTCCTGCCATGACAATGGCTGAAATATAACCATCCTAAGATGGCTATACTAAGGAGGTTCCCAATCAGTGTCAGTCCCACAGTAGGCTAGCGAGCACTGTATATTGACCAGAGGCTCACAAGAGGGAGATTCAGACCATAGTAAATGATTTGCTAAAGAGCGAACACATAAAATACCATTAGTCCAAGATCAAAGCCTAATGTAAGCAGCGGCCATAACACTACGTGGCTGGACACAGCTATCCTCGAATAGCATTTCCCTCAGATAAGGCTGAAGTTTGCAAAGACTTCAGTGCTTACCTGAGAGAGCTTGTGCCAAGGGGAACCCAACCTAGTCATAGAATGCCCTCAGACTGCTATATTCCAGAGCAAAGCAAGCTTGAGCTGGAGCATAACCATCCCCAGACAGCTATACTCTGAGCAGAGACTGGTCACTTAAAGCCCTCTAAAGGGGGAACAATCTACTCAGCCCAAACTTACTAAGCAGGATCCATCCGGCTTAACACAGGAAGGAACATTCTCCATAACCACTCTAGGTCACTGAAACACCCTGGGAGAGAAGCTCATCAGCTCTCTCCACAGAGCATTGAATATATCCATGCACAGCGAGGCTCTCCACACACAATAACATGCATATTAGCGAGGCACAGCTGAGCTGAAAGGCACAATATGTAAGATTTTCGTAATAAAATATCCAAAAACTACTTGCACAGTGTAATATATTTCATGCAGTTGTGTACTTACGTTATTCCAAAAGTTCCCAAGGATTTGTAAATCCAGAGAAATTCCAGTTTTAAATAATGGCTCATCCCTGGTCATTGTCGCCTATCAATGACATAATATCGGCATATCCCCAGTTTCCGCTTGTAGAAACGTCTCGGTTACGCATGGTAACTCTCGTTCCCTGAAGGAGGGAACGGAGACGTCACGTCGGTGACCGACGAATTGGGATATCGCTTCGATAGACCAATCTACTTCGAGTGTAAACTAAACGAGCCAATGCACATTGGCATGCAATTATTGCATCCAGCTGGCGCTGATCACAGCGTGAGTATAATAAGGCAGCAGGTGCAATGCATACCAGGCTTTCGATGAGGAGCCGAGCCGGTGACCCGGCGGCTCAGCGGTGGTACAGCAACCGTGGCGACGGGACGTGACGTCTCCGTTCCCTCCTTCAGGGAACGAGGGTTACCATACGTAACCGAGA